CCAACAAGGCCACACCTCCTAACAGTGCCACTTCCCTTAGAAGCCATTTTCTTTCAAACCATCACACTTGATGAACATGATGTAGTTGGAGAGAAATCCTTGTTTGTAAATTTTGTCATTGTGGGATTTGATTAATTGTGTGGTGTACACACTTACTGTGTGTTATATATGTGTGAACATGAGTATGTGTGTGTGTTCATTCTTTGTGGACTTTTCTTGTTTCTTTGAGACACGGCCTCACTCACTATACAGTCCTGGTTGATAGAGATCCACTCACTTGTCTCTGCTTCCTGACTGCTGGGAATCTTGTCCTTTTTTCTATTAACGAAGAAAATGACAGTTTTACAATCAATCCAAAGGGACACAAAAGTGAGTTCTTAATTTTAGAAAAAAATAGCATGTCTCTGCACCATTTCAATTTAAAAGTCCTTTGGCAGTATAATTTTCTGTAGGCTGTGGAGCTATTTGATTGCACCTAGAGAGGAAATAATTTTAGAAGGAGAATTCTTTTCTTATCTTGATGTAAAAGAACAACAAGATTATTCAGTGATGAAAAGAACTGAGCTACCAAGCCATGAAGAAACATGGAGAAAGCTTAAATGCATATTACTCAGCAATAGAAGCAATCTGAAATGGCTATATATTGCATAGTTCTATGTATATGTATTTGAGACAGTGTCTCACCATGTAGCTCTGGTGCTGGCCTGGAATTCACAGAGATCGATCCAACTTCCATGCCTGACTATATTATATTCCCTTTTTTTAAAAAAAGGCAGAATGGGGAAGACAATAAAAGGATCAGTTATCACCAGGGGTTGGGGAGGAGGAAAGGTCAGATAGACAGGGCACAGAGAAATAAGGGACCATGAGAGCAGGAAATAGACAGGGCACAGAGAAATGAGAGACCATGAGAGCAGGCTCTCTGGCACTGTACTGTAAGTGCATACCATTACACACTCATCAGAATCATAGAATGTGAAATGCTAAGCATGAGCTGTAAAGTACACTATGGGCTCTGATGATGACAATGTATTAATATAGGTCTACTACTTGTAACTAATGAAGCCCACTCCGGTGTGGAATGTTGACAGCAGTAGAAGCTGTGTGTATATGGCAGGAGAGTGCAGCAAATATCTTCTAGGAACCTAAAAACTGTTCTGTTTGTCTGGTTGATTGGTTGGATGGTAGTTGTTTTGTTTTATTCTTTTTTAGTTTGTTTAAGATTTATTATATTATGTGTACTGATATTTTACCTGCATATATAACTACATACTGTATGTATGCATGCCTAGGGCCAATGAAGACCAGAAGAAAGTATTGGATCCCCTGGAACTGGAGTTACAGATGGTTGTGAGCCACCACATGGGTGTTGAGAATCGAATCCAGGTCCTCTAGAAGAGCAGTCCTTCTTAACCACTGAACCATCTTTCAGCCTCCTTATATTTTATTTTTGGTATATGTATATCTGTCTGGTATGGTGCATGGGTGTGAGGATATGTACAAAAACCTAGAAATGAATACTTTTCATTGGTATGGACTTTGGTTTATTGATACAAATTTAAGGTCAATTTTGTTAATATATATATATTTCTACTCGTTTAACGTATTATGTTCTGTAGCTCATTTTAAAATGCAATGTATAGTTAAGAAATACAAATCAATATTCATCTATAATACTCAAACTTGTAGTCATGTCAGTTAGGTTTTCTAGATATGCAGAGATATATTTCAGATGGATAGGTAATCTTCAAACACTTCAAAGACCTACAGACATGGCATTTAAAATGTTTTAAGAACATTTTTTGTTTTGTCTCACTTTTCTCAACAGTGAGACACATCTGCTCCTGGCAGCACCAATTACTTCAAGAGGTTGAGGGCATTGAAGAAGCTCCTTATGGAGTTTGCTTTCAACATGACAAGACCTCCCATTTGGGCAAGAGACAGCTCTTGCCTGGACTACTTGACTGCATGCTGTATAAACTGGACATGCAGGTCCCACAGGAAAGTGACTGCTGAACTTGCCAAAACAAGATGGGACAGTCCTTCAAGGTTCCTGTTTCATGGAAGAATCTGCCAGACATTCTGCAGGACACAGAAGAAAGCAACTGATGAACTTTGCCAGTACAAGGCAGAACAAATCTTCAAATTTCCTGCTTCATTGAAAAGTCTGCTGGATTCTATGGGCCTATATGCTAAAGATGGATGCCTCTACATTACAGAAGAACTTTGGGGGACTGTCTGGGCAGCCAGTTAACTCTGTCATTTCTAGAGTTTTAGAGGTTGCTTACAATGCACTCCAATTTACTTAGGTAACAGTATATCCTTCTGGGAACTTTGATGGAATTGAAGTATTGCTTAGTAATTTATAGTTTTGCTTAGTTATGATAAAAGATAAATTAGATATAAAACTTTAGACTTGCAAAGATAGGCTAGATTATAGAGTATTTTCTTTAATTTTGCCAAAAGCAAGTGAACTAAATATTGTAACTATAATTCTTTCTTGATAGCTGTTTTGTTAAATGCAGTTTTACTATGTTAAAGTTAAAGCCTTCCTTTTTAATTAGACAGAAAGGAGGAGATGATGTGGGATGTCCTTCTATGTGCTGTGAATATGTGTTGCTTTTGTCGGTTAATAAATAAAATGGCCAAGCAGAATACAGCCAGGCAGGAAACCCAAACAAAGATATGGAGGAAAAGAAGGTAGAGTCAGGGAAACGTCATGTAGCTGCTGGAGAGGCAAGATGTGAGGTTACAAGCCACAAGCTTTGTGGTAAAATATAGAATAATAGAAATGGGTTAATTTAATTGTGAGCTAGTCAGTAATATGCCTAGCCATTGGCCAAATTATTATAATTAATATTATACCCTAGAGTGGTTATTTGGGAACTGGAGGGCGAGATGAGAAACTTCCAACTACATGATGTTGGGTATCTTCCTCTACCACTGCCCACCTTACTCCTTTAAGACAAGGGTCTTTGGAGGAACCAGAAGCTGCTACACAGGCTGGCCAGTGATGTTCCAAGATCAGTTTATGTCTACCTTCCCAATGCTAGGACATCGGGTGTGCACAGCCATGTCCACCTTTTTGTGTGGACACTGGGATTTGAACTCAAGTCCTCACACTTGTACCCAGCTATTGGTTTCAGTTTTTTGAGACAGGTTCCATGTAGTTCAGACTAACTTGAAACTTGCTATGCATTAAAAACAACCTTGAACTCTTGCCTCTGCCTCTCAAGTTCTGGGATCACATGAACCACAATGCTAGGCACGTAAAACTGATTTAAATAATGAAATCAACTATTCAAAATAAACTGAGCAGGGACCCCAAAAGGCATTTTCTGTAAGAACAACATTGTTTAAATGCTAACTGTGGTACCCAATTAGTATTTAATTCAGGGTTGCAAAGGAGCACAACCCTCTTGAATGTGGCATAAAAAACTAGAAAGTTAACGGGAGGATGCAAGAAGGGTCTTCAAAGCCCTTGATCCAGAACTTGAATGAGGCCGCACAGAGGGGCAGGCAGCTGGGCTCTCTATCCCTCTGCCAGGTGTGGACGGAGCTCTTGTCATGACTTCTCCCTGACTGGATTACAGTCCTTCATTTTCTCTCCCTCACCCTCTCTCCTCCGCCTCCTTTTTCTCCTCCTGATCTTAGTGCTTCATTCTCCTCTCCCTTCTCCCTTCACCCCTCCAGCTTGCTCCTCTCCCTTCTCCCTTCACCCCTCCAGCTTGCTCCTCTCCCATTCCCATCCCTCTCTCTAGTTTTCTCCACTGTACTTTTACCCTGGCACGATTTCAGCCCGCCAGCTCCAACTTTAGATGTCCTTACAAGTCCTGCTTGTCTGAGTCATATTTGCAAATTCATAAGAATGCAATTCGCTCAGACCGATCCTGGAGTCAGATGTCTTCAGCTGTGTCTCAGGAGAGGCAGGTGCGTTAGTATAAGAACACTGCAGCTGCCCCAGGAGAGTGCGCAGTTAGAGCTCAGAAAAGCAAATAGGCTAAACAGGCATCCCAAAAGGCATTTTCTTCAAGCAGATGATAAGTACCTGCAGCAGCGAGAAGGCAGGAGGTACTCCTCATTTGTTAGCTTGGAAGCAAGACCCTCAGCCCTGCCAGAGGAGAGGGAGTGGGGTTTTCCTGTAACTGTCTCAATCTCCTGTACCCCAGTTCCTCCTACATAACAGGGGACTCGTGTGTGCACACCACCTTTCCCTGCTGAATTAAATCACTTCCACGGCCGGGCTGTGATGGGAAGACTGATGCCTGGGAGTTTGGCCAACAGGTGAGTAATGGACAAGGCTGAATTAAGGAGCAAAGGCTGTTCTGACTATTCTGTTTGAACTAATCATTCACATGAATTAGTTTTTATCATTTCAAGGATTTAGTGCTGACTGGTACAGGAGTAAAGATGTGTCGTGTCACCAATGAATAAGAAGAGCCAGAGAGGAATCCAGGATTCCTAACACCCAAAGTCACTCTCCACGTTTGCATTGATGTCTTAGTTGAATGTCACAAAAACAAGAATCAGAGGGGCTGGAGAATCAGAAGTTAGGAACACATACCTCTTCCAGAGGCCCCACCCACCTGTGTCAGACAGTTTATGATGCCTGTAACTCCCAGTTGCTGGAATAACAAGTGTGTGCCACCATGTTTACCTGAAAATAATCATTTAAACACAGTTTCTTTTGAAAATAGAAGTTCTTTTACTACTTTATATAATCACATCATCCTCTCTCTCTCTCTCTCCTGATGCTAAACAAGTGATCTTTCATTGGGTAGACTGCATCTCCAACCTCCTGCTTTAACTAGTTTCTTGTTCCCTCTCCTCCTTTTTCTTCTCTCTCCTCTTCCTTCTCGTCATCCTTATTCTCATCCTCTCTTCTCTCTCTGTGCTGAATGTTAAAGTCAAGACCTTTCATAGCCTAGGTAGATGTTCTGCCACCAAGCCAAAACCCAACCCTTGTTTTTTTTTTTTCAGGAAGTGTCTCTCTATTTACTCCAGGCAGGCCTTGAACTTGAAATCTTCCTGCCTCCAACTTCCATTACAGGTATGTTCCCTCATGCCATCATGCTCAGCTCCTTTGTTTTATTCACCTTCTGTGTTTCAGGTTATGTTCAGAAAGGCCTTCCCACATCTGGCAATCATGGCCTATGCTTATGGAAAGCCCTGGGTTTGAGTTTCAGCACCCCCCCCCAAAAAAAAGCAAAACAGAAAAAATTCTCCTCCCCTTGAATTCAAAACTATTTACCCCCACTTCCTTCTAAAGTGCTATACTTGTTTGAGGTTTTATCCTTCATATGAAATTTAACACAAGTAAAAACCATCGTTTTTTCTTTATTTCTTTCTTATTTGCTTGTTTTGGCTTTGCTGTGTCTAAATTAGTTATTTGCTCCTAGTCCATTTGCTGAATAGCCCCATGTTTCCTGGCTGGCATAAAATGCTTCCTATCACACACTGTTTCTAAAATTCAGCCCCACTGAGCAATGTGTCTGTCGCAGAGCCTTGCAGCACTCTAATGGGTTCTGCTTGGGAAAGGGCAAAGGCCCGTGACGGGGATGAAGACACCTCACACACCTTTATAAAGTCACATTTATCTGAAAAGGAACATGGCTCATATAAGACAGTCTGCCTGCACAGTTGTTTGCTGCGCCCTCCACCAAAGAACAGCCCTTCCTCTTGTTGACAGGTGTCACTAAACATCCTTGACTTTGCCAGGGCTGCACAGGGAGACAAGGGAGGTGACAGCAGCACACACTGCACAGAGGGAAACGCTGAACAAACGTTTTTGCTCTCCTTCAGACCCATCCTTGGAAAACAGCCATTGATTCCTCTCCTCTCTGTCCTTTTTCCCTCGGTGACCTCTGAAGTCTCCTCCACTGCCTGAAAATCCAGGTAGCTATATATTTACAAATAGGATCCAGAAACTCAAATGTCCTATTACAAATGAAATCTTTGTTAGAATTCATCAATTGTTGCTTGAGTATCCTAGAAGGAAGCAGACAGACAGACACACACACACACACACACACACACAGTGATATTTTGTTTATGATCTAATAAAGCTTGCCTGAAGATCAGAGTGCAGAGCTAAGACACTAGTTAGCCTCACACCTAAGCCACTAGTTAGTCATAGAGGTCAGGCAGTGGTGGCCACACCTTTAATACCAGCACTCAGGAGATTGAGGCAGATGAATCTCACACCTTTGGTCCCAGCACTAGAGAGGAATATAATGTGGGAGGAGACAGGAGCAGTCCAGGCAGCCTAAGATTTGGTAGAGAGCATTGTGTCTGAGGATTTGGGGAGACAGGTGCGCCCTTTCATTCTGGGATAGAGGCAAGAGCTAGTGGCCAGCTGCCTTGCTCCAGGGAGCTTCAGTTTTCCCTCCCTAATGTCTGACTCCCAGTTTGTATTAGTCAAACCAACCAGAATTCGTCACACACACACACACACACACACACACACACACACACACACACACACACAAGTGCATGCACAAAAACACTGAAGAACTCAAAATTAGTAAGGAGGGGCCTGGGAATTCGGCACTGGCTGCTCTTGCAGAGAACCAAGGCATGGTTCCCAGGACACATGTGATGGCTCACAATCTCCTTTAGCTCCAGTTCCAGGGGATCTGACATCCTCTACTGGCCTCCTAGGACACCAGATATGCACATAATACACAGGCATACACACAGGCAAAACACTCATACATATTAAAAATGCAGACTGGAAATGACAGAGTACGTCATTAATCCCTGCATTTGGGAGGCAGAGGCAGGAGGATCTCTAAGAGTTTGAGGTCAGCCTGGTCTACTGAGAGTTTCAGGCCAACCAGAGCTACACCCAGTGAGACCCTCTCTCAAAAAGTAAATTTTTTTCTAGAAAAAGATAGTATCAAAAACCAGGCCAATCACCTGAAGAGTGGGTACCCAGATGGCTGACGCAACCAGTTCAGCACGGGAAGAAAGGGCACCTGAAGCTGCCTGGGAACAGCATCTTCAGCAACAGAGTCAAGCGTTTGACATGAGGTTAGGGGCTTAATACATACTCTATTAAAAAAGAAAAATACAAGAAAATTAAGAATTAAAACAGAAGACTTTAAAATGCCATTACTTGGAATGTGACCACTTAACTACTTAAGCCAAGAAAATCAATAAACAATTAAAAATAATAAAAGAGCCACACAAGGATATTAGATTTAAAAATCAAATTATCAAAACAGCAATAGCAATAAGTAAGAAACTACTGTCTAAAAACATAGTTTTGAAAATTAAGATGCTACTAGGAACAGCACCCAAAGCTCAGTGCTATTTAGGCAATTAAGGGTACCCAAGTCACCCAGACACTAAGATTCTAGATTCTTTATGATCACAAATATCATTTCAATAAAGGGGAAGCATTTCATACTCTTTGCAATGACTTATTCCTCAAATCAATTTATAGAAGTTTAATGGGCTATAACTAGAATTTTACTTGGTATTATTTTTAGGAAATCTGAAACTTTTATGCTAAAATTTAAATTTCACATTGAAGAGTAAAGAACCAAGATTGTGGAGTCAATTTTGAGCAGAAAAGTAAAAAGGCAGGGAGGTGTCCAGGTGCTATGGCTTCTATGCCATCTCATCACTTGGAGTGGGGGATTGGGAGCAGGGGCTGAGTTTTAAGACCAGGCTGGACCACAGTAAATTCAAGGCCATCCTAGGCTATACCTTGTCTCAACAAAGCTAAACAAAAAAAAATAATTGATTGATTGATTGATTGATTGATTAAAAAGACAGGTTGAAAGGCTTACTTTTCTTATTTTTAATTATGTGTATGCTTATGTATGGGTGTGTGAATGTAAGTGGGGATGCCCAGGAGGCCAGAGATGATGGATTTCCTGAAGCTAGAGTTGCAGGTTTGTGAGCCACCTGGTACAGGTGCTGGGAACCAAACTTGGGTTCTCTGAAAGAGCAGTAAGAGCTCTTACTACAGAAATATCTCTCTAATCCCATCTGCTGTCTTTTAAGAGATGGGACAAGACTAGGGTTACAGCCCATGGAATGCAGGCCAGTGTCTAGCATATCTGAAGTCCTGATTTCAATATCCAGCATGGTGGTACACAATTTTAATCCCAGCACTTGGGAAGCAGAGGCAGGTGGATCTCTGTGCTACAGTGGCAGATGTGATAGCAAGGTGTGCTCCTAAAGCTGATGCAGGAGGACTGGAAGTTCCTGATGGCACAAACTATAATCCCAGCATGTGGGGGGAGCAGCGTAGATTCAGGCAACCCAGAAGTTCAAGACTATCACTGGCTACACAGCAAATTCAAGCCATCCTGGGCAACATGACACCCTACCTTAAATAAAAGGAACTCCAGAACTCTGGTGCAACATGAGCAAAGAAAAGAAAAAAAACCTCACAGATGAGCAAACCCACAAATGTAACCATACAAAGACTATGATGTCACTGTACCCCCACCAAGCAGTTTTACAGTAAGCTCCAACTAGGAATGGACCCAGATTTCCTAGTTTCAAAACCACTTGCTTCCTAGTTTCTTCTTAGCCAAGTTAAATGCAAGTTATCAGAAAGCCAGACAAAACTGAGAGCTCATAACCACACAGGACTAAGAGCCCTGCAACTCCACATAGCCCACTTAAGTGGCTGGTGGGAGTTGGTGTCACCATTCTAGAAAGCAATATGCAGTATTGCACTCTCTCTCTCTCTCTCTCTCTCTCTCTCTCTCACACACACACACACACACACACACACAGAGAGAGAGAGAGAGAGAGAGAGACAGAGAGAGACAGAGAGAGGCAGAGAGAGACAGAGAGAGACAGAGAGAGAGAGAGATGGACACACACCTCTAAGGAGATATCTCCAGGGACCCTCGCTGCCGTGTGTTTGAATTTGTGGGTACAAGTGGTCATCTAAATATCCATCACTAGCAGTGTTCAGGGAAAATGCATAGAAAAGCATCTTAAGATATCCCTCCATGCAGCCATAGATAAACATATGTTGTCCTGGAAATACCTTTAGAACAGTGCTAAGGGAAATGAGAAGTGATCGGAATGAGTTCTGTCACCTGTACCATCTCAGTACGTTAAAATAATTGTGCACAAGAAGATACACAATGTGCAGAAACATACAAATGAAAGTTCTCATTTAATGCAACTGTCAACTTAGCAGGAAAGGAACTGGGAGTTAGGTATTATGAAAAGACAGAATAAACATGAAATGATAGGGCCTGGAGAGATGGCTCAGTGGTTAAGAGCATTGATTGCTTTTCCAAAGGACATGGGTTCAATTCCCAGCACCCACGTGGCAGCTTACAACTGTACATAACTCCAGTTCCAGGGGATCCTACACCCTCACCGACATACATACAGGCAAAACACCAATACACATGAAAAATTAAAAATTAGGCAAGGCCATGGTGGCACATTCCTTTAATCCCAGCACTTGGGAGACAGAGGCAGGTGGATCTCTGTGAGTTCGTGGCCAGCTTGGTCTACAGAGTGAGTTCCAGGACAGGCTCCAAAGCTGCAGAGAAACCCTGTCGTGAAAAATAAATAAATAAATGTTAGTTTTTTTTTAAATGCTGTGGGGACAAAAAGAGGGTCCTGAGATGATTAACTCAGTCCTCTGTACTTGGGGCCAAAAATAAAATAAAAAACAGACCATGAAAGTAGAAAGCAGGGTTAAAATTAGGGCATTCAGTCAGAGCCTTTGTTAACGGCTCCTTCCCCTCCCTGAAGCAGATGCAAACCTCTGGGAACCTAGAGGAAGTGAAGAATAATGGGGGAGGGGCAGAGCCTCCCCCAGGCCAGGTCCTGCCTTTAAGAGCTGTTCATTACCTCCTTCCTCAGCCAGCTCTTGTCACAGTTAAGGCACACCGCTGACCTGTTTTCCTCATTCCTTTCTGGGCTTTTCTGTAATTTGTATCTGGAGAGCCCTGAGCTGGTAAGGGTGACACACCAGGAAGATCATGGGAGAGTCACTGAGACTGACCCCATCCTTCCTTCCCTACCCTTTCTGGCAGGAACCAGTATCGATGGCCTTGGAGAGATCAAGTGACAGAGAGATGGAGGATGGCCTCGGTCTGCAGCTCAGAACAGAACCCTGGTTCCTGGTCCCTGTGCCAGCTCTGACTTTCACTTCAGGAAGGACCTGAGGGTAGAAGCTATGAAGAGCCCTAGCAGTAACCAAGACCCAGGTGGGGCCTCATTGCCCATCACCCCTGCCTGGGCCCAACATGGCACCTCTCCCTGTTCTTCACCCCGCCAAGGGCTTTCTAGTTCCTCTGAGGCAAGATTCTCTAACATTTCACAGGCCAGGGCTTCCTGTCCAGATGGACATCACCCCCAGCCTGCCTCTCATGCCAATCCAGGGAGAATCTTGAGCCACTGTCCTGAATGCCAGGACCCACACTTCACTACAGTTGGACTCAACTCTCTTGCTTCATCCTAATCCCAGCTCAAATAGGCCATTAGTTAAATTTTTCATATTTTATCATAGTTTTGAACATTCATTGTTATGTTTTAATATTGCATTAATGTTGTGATGATTGCTTTCTGTCCTTCGTTTTACTCTGCTCTTAATTCTTCACCACACATACACACCACACACACACACACCACACACACACACACACTTTCCTACAGATCAAGGACATTCAGACTTTTAGTTTGCCTTTTAATCTCTGTGTGTGTGTGTGTGTGTGTGTGTGTGTGTGTGTGTGTGCCTGTGTGTGCCTGTGTGTGCCTGTGTGTGCCTGTGTGTGTCCATGCTCACATGTATGAATGGAGGCAGGCATGTGCCAAGGCACACATGGAGGAATGTGGCCAAGTTGGGATGTCAGTCTGCCATCTTGCTTGAGGTAGAGTCTCTTGTTCTGTGCTACCCAGGCTGGCTGGCCTATGAACATCCAATGGTTTTTCAGCCTCCATCGCCCAGCTTCTCACAGCAACACTGGGATTACAGTGTGCTTCTGCTCTGGATTTTTACAGATGTTCTGAGGATTCAAACTTTTGAGGCAAGAATTTTACTCATTGAGCCATCTCCCCAGTTCTCAAGGACTTTAGAAATCTGGGTCCTAACAAGGTCTCTAGGACTCTCCCTGTATGACTCACGGCCACAACTGTTGTGCGAACTCTATCATAATCTTCCGCTGTAGAAGCCTGACAATACGGGGCTGAAGAGAGAGCTCGGCATCTAAAAGCACTAGTTGCTCTTCTAGAGGACCAACTAGGGTTTCATTCCCAACCCACAAGTGCCTGTAATTCCAGTCTGGGATCTGAAGCCCTCTTCTGACTCCCACAGGCACTTCATGCACATGGATTCACATGGATATACATGGGGACAAACACCCATACACATAAAATAAAATGTAAAGGTTGTAGAAAGAACAGGACAGAGATGTGTTGATTTAGATTTATTGTTTAGCTGTTTTTAAGAGAAAGAAATTTGATGGTCTGTTTTTGCTATGGCAAAAGCAACAGTAATAGAAAGTCCTTTAGGCAGGAAAGTGTTTGGCACATCTGAAAACAAGTGTGGGAGCTGGAGAGATGGCTCAGAGGTTAAGAACCCTGACTGTTCTTCCAGAGGTCCTGAGTTCAATTCCCAGCAACCACATGATGGCTCACAACCATCTACAATCCAATCTGGTGCCCTCTTCTGGTGTGTAGGCAGAACACTGTGTATATAATAAATAAAAGAAAAGAAAAGAAACGTGGTGGAGCAGAGCAGAGGAACAGGTGTGGGAAGGCGGTGAAAGGAAGCCAGGCCACACGGGACACAATGGAAAAGATGGGATGTCAGAGCATCAGAGGACATGACTTAGCTCACACATCAAAAAGAACCTTCTAGATGCTGTGTTGAAAGCAAAGCACAGATCAATCCAGATAGAAGCAAGAAGACAGTGTGGAGGCAGTAACTCAGGAGGACATGGGCAAAGGTCACAGTGGCCACACTCTGAATATATTCCCGGAAGAGAATGAGTTTGACTTGGGATGGGAGAGAAAGAAGGAGGGCAAGAGACTGCTCCAAGATTTTTGTTCTGAGTTTCAGGGAGGACCCAGTTGTCATCTACTGAGAGGGACAATGCTGCAGATAGCACAAGTTTGGGGGTTGAGATGAGTCATGTCGGAGATGATTCTAGACATCCAAATGGAGCCGGCTGGCAGGAACAATGACAGTGATAACAGTAATCACAGCTGCACATAAATCGAGCTCCGGGTTGGGGTGCAGTTCAATAGCGGAATGCTTGCTAGCAGGAGTAAAGCCCTGAGTGTCATCCCTACCACCACCACCACAATAATAATAATAATAATAATAATAGAAAATTTTAAACCCATCGTACTCTCTCTGAGCCAGGCATTTTCCCAACACTTGACATGTTTGAGTCACTTAATTCTCAGAGCATTCCTATGATGTGGAACTGTCATTATCCCCTTTCACAGATGAGGAAATCTACAAGTCTGGGGTTCAGCGGAGAACCTGGACTAGCGTTATAAACATGGAAATCATCAGTGTGGGGGTGACATAAATTCATCTGGCAATGGGTGTGGAGGACCACAGGCTGAAGCCAGATTCTCCAAAGTCTAGAGAGTGGGGAGATCAGGAACACCAGCAGGGGAGGGACAGCACCCAGGGACCAGGACATTAGAAAATGGTATAAAAATTGCAGCACAGTGCATGGAGCCTCCTGGGTGACTCTAGTGAGAGCTCAGGAGACAGAGTAGGGACCTAGTCTCAGATACAAATGAGGTTCCACTGGAAAGTGAACTAAAGGTTACCTGTGTTATACCACGGAAAAGAATGTGGGTGCATCGTGTCCATAACGTAAGACTTTGTAGAAGCTGGAGGTGGTGGTGCACACTTTTAATTCCAGCACTGGTGAGTCAGTGGCAAGAGGATCTGTAAGTTCAAGACCAGCCCAGTCTACATAGCAACCTCCAGGGCAGTCAGGACTCTATAGAAAGACCTGTCTCAAAAAACCAAAACCAAACTGAATTTTTTTTAATTTTTTTAAAGACTTTGGCCAGGCAGTAGTGGCACATGCCTTTAATCCCAGCACTCAGGAGGCAAAAGCAGGTGGATCTCTGTGAGTTCAAGGCCAGCATGGTCTACAGAGCGAGTTCCAAAACAGGCTCCAAAGCTACAGAGAAACATGGTCTGGAAAAACCAACAAAAAAGACTTTGTGGAAAGTTAAACTTAGAGATAACACAATAAGTAACTGAGTGGAAATCTCACAACAGAGCACTTAGACTGTGGCGTGATTATTACTGGATAATCAATGAAATGAAAAGCAGAGCGAAACGATCCAGAAGATTCACAGCTTGGACGGGGGAAAGAAACAAAGAACATGTTCAGGAGAGATTTCCAAGTGGAGACTGGCACAGGTAAGAAGAGCGCATGGGCTTCCTAGTAAGATGGCAGGAAAGGCCTCAGCGACGTCTCTTCAAGGCCTCCCCTCTCCTCTCGGGCCAACAGGCCTAGAAATCCACATTTGCTTTGAGGACTGAAGGATGTTTCCCACAGGTTCACTGCCCAGGGCTGCCTTCAGGACTCAGCTTTCTAGCCATCAAACAAGCTCAGATGAATTTCTGTACACAGCAACCCTCAGTGTCCACATGGTTTGGGGGGCACACAAAGTGTATGAACTATGGTGGCTCGCACTCAGGTTTCACGGGAAATCTTGGGAGGTCAAGCGCAAGTTTCCCACAGTGTCAGTGAAGTGATATCTAGTAGAGCCACGGGAATGGAACCACAATGATGACCTCAGAAAGGGAGTACATCTAGGCACGCCCATCCAGGAAAGCTACTGACATCAACACACAGCCGTCCCTCCCTGAGACAGTTGTGATTTAGACAGCCACCAGCAAAGCCAGAGAGAGTTCAGCTCAGTACATCGAGGGCCAACACCCTCATATAGTGTGCATAAGGTAACAGATTCAGGGATTTCGGATGCAGTGTCTTCCCTGTTGGATTTCAGTCTTGCAGTAAGCCTGTCAATTATTTTCTAGAAGGGAGACTGCCTAGTTAGCTTCTCTGTTGCTGTAATAAAACAAAAACAACAACAACAAAAAGCAACTTAAGGAGGAAAGGGTTTATTTGACTTACAGTCCATCATTGAGGGAAGGCAGTGCAGGGACTCAAGGCAGGAACTGGAGCAGACTGTGGAGTAACACTACTTACTGGCTTGCTCCCTCTGACCTGCTCAAATATCTTTCCTTTACAGCCCAGGCCTATCTGCTCAGGGGTAACACATTACAGTGATCTGGGCCCTCCTATATCAATTAGCAATCAAGAAAATGCCCTACAGGCATGCCAGCAGGACAATCTGACTGAGGCAATTCCCTATCCCTAGGTGTGTCTAGTCAACAGCCAAGGACAGCCATCATACAGGGTATATACCTTGTGTGTCTGTCCTACACCATGTATTGGAGGTAGATAAATTGGTTTGACTTTACAAGTTCAGAAGTAAAAGGCATTTGTCCTGAGTCTCAGGTGACCTTGAACTATGGCCTCCTTAACTGATGATAGAACAATATAGGAATTGGGGCTCTGTGCTGAAATAATTACCATGCTTGTTAGAAAGAGTGTAGGGTGAAATGGGTTGCTGGTTTTGTGTATTGTTTTTTTTCTCATCACCATGACAAAGCGTCTGACAAAACCAACTTGAAGAGAGAAGGGTTTATTCTGACTCACAGATGGGGTTTAGAGGTGCAGAGTACAGTGTATCACAGCAGAGAAGTCACGACAGCGGGAGGGTAGGCAGCTGGTCACGTCACATTCACAGCAAGGTATTGAGAGAATGAAAACAATCCCACTCTAATGCTTACAGATGCAAACTTTGGGACGTGATTAGGATTAGACAGTGGTGGGCTGTTGAGATGGCTCAGTGGGTTAAGGAGCTTATACCCAAACCTAATAACCTGAGTTCAATCCCTGGGACTCACAAATCCTGCAAGGTATTCACAGAACTGTACACAATCACACACACACACACATACAAGCAAAGCAAAATTTTATTAAAAATTAAACAATAGATTAGATGATGTCATCGGCATGGAGCCCCTCCCCCATGATTTAATATTGGCATCTTTATTTTAAAAAATGGAGGCCAGTAGACAGACACACATGCATAAGATGAGTACCCCATGTCTCCTGCCATGTGATATTCTGGACTTCCTCAGGGCCATCACCAGATACAGCCCCTTAACCCCAGACCTCCAGAATCATAAGCCAAAATACACTTCTTTTCTTTTCTTTTTCTTTTTTTTTTTTTTTTTTTTTGGTTTTTTGAGACAGGGTTTCTCTGTATTGTTTTGGAGGCTGTCCTGAAACTCACTCTGTAGACCAGGCTGGCCTCAAACTCACAGAGATCTGCCTGCCTCTGCCTCCCGAGTGCTAGGATTAACGGCGTGTGCCACCAACGCCCAGCTGCCACTTCTTTTCTTTAGAATTCATCCAGTCTACGGTATTGTGCTACTGAAAACAGAATATCCACCGAAAAAACCCAACACCCTCCACTTCAACACCACACTGACCTGCCTAAAGTCTTCCTGCTTTTA